TCCCAGCTGCTTCACAGCAGTGCTGGTGATTCTGTTCTGGGAGCAGAACCAAAATATTTGTCAGTGTTTCTGTGTGCAGTGTGGAGTGAGTTTCTTTCTTGTCTCTTTGAAAGACTGTAAGATATTAAAAAAATCTAGACAATTAAAGCTACAAACAAACTGTCTCACTGAACTTCTGTAATCTTTTTTCCTTTTGGGGGGAAAGAAGGTGAAAGATTCTGCACAAATAGACCACAATAAGGTGTTATATATCAAGTTATGCAGTGGCTGGTCTGCTAAATCTGACTATAATACAGTAAAAATAATGATAAAAGATGTACATGTTACTGATGGGTTGGAAAGTCTGCTTGTTTAGTGCTGGAAAAGGAATTCATGGAAACTAACTTGGGTTAGAAGACTCAAAGGACTTAAGATGGAAAGCAAAAATACCATCCATCCATTTGACCTTTGACTTCTGTATTCTGTTCTGTTGACATTTTCAAGCTTTCTGCTGCACCTGAGGGACAGAAAATTACTGTCTGCCTTGAATGAAATCTGAGATTCTTTTTTGGTTTGTTTGTTGGTTTCACATTGGGTTTTTTCAATAGATGGAACTTTTAAGGAAAACAAATCCAGGGATTCACAGGAAAGTTGCACTAGACTGCAGGAGGAGCCATTTTCAGCATGTATGCCCAGGATTTTCCAGTCACTGAGATTTATACAGCCCCTGTGTATTTTTCAGCACAAATAAAGTTCCTCTTCTAGCAGATTTAAGACTATGAATAACATGTTTTTCTGATTTACCTGTGGCAGATTCCCAGCTATTGTCCCAGAGGCCCAAGGAACATAGGCTGAATACAACAGTTTGGGAAAAAAAATAACAAAAGGCCAAGACTTTCCAAGTGTAATTCTTCACTGAACAATTTATCCTATCTTTCCAGTGCATACTTAGATTTGCATTTCATACGCATGTGCTTCTACATTTGTCACTACAGTTTCCCAGTTCCAAGTTTAACAAAGACCATTTCTGGAGGATTCAAGAAAGTTGTTCCAATGATTAATTACTTTCACTCCAAAGAAGCCTGCCCTGTGTTGTTTGAACAAATAGTCGCTGTATCACTTGTGCCTATTTTTGCTAAAGGAAGCGCCTCATTATTAAAGTATTGCTTCCTCCTACACAAACAACCTTTTGCAAATCCTGTGAGTGATGCCCTGTGTGAACATCAGAAGAGTGGAAGAGAATCACATTATTCACAGTAGGAGGGAGAAGAAGACAACTTCCTATCTTTAGGTTTTGGTTTTTTTTTTTTTTTCTTTTTTTCCCTTTCTGATACTGGCAGATGTAGGGCTGTGGGATGTTCATGAAAAGAAGGATGTCAGTGTGGTAGCTTGTAAAAAACAGTGCAGAGTGTTTGAAGAAACTGTTGAAAGAGAACCAGTAGTATGAGGGAAACACACAAAATGCCATATAGCAACAAAATCATCACAGATTAGAGAGAAAAACAAGAGTCCCAGCCAAGCCAGTGAACTGTCAGTCTTTGTCTCTTTGAAAGACTGAAACACAACTAACATCCATCAGAATAACCAAACCAATGTATTGAATGCCCTGTCCTCTTTTCAGGTCCTATGAATTCATGGAGCTGTTCACTTTGCACTGCACTGGATCACACAGAGGATTCATCTTTCCCTTTACAAAAATAACTTGGCATTTTTTTGTTGTTTGGAGTGCAAAACATTTAATCTGTCATGGTACAGGGCCAGATTACATGTTGATTCAAACTGATGTTAGCTGGTATTGCCCAAACAAAGTCAGTGCTAATTTACACCAGCAGAGGCTTTTCCCTTCATTTTTAATATTCAGGGAAAATGAATGAATCACAAACTCTTGCTTTGATCTCTAGGTACTCTCTTATTGTACTTATCTAGTTAGTTAAACAGTTTATCTATCCTGGGTCCCTTCCTAAACATTAATGAAACCATGTTAAACCCAACAAGGATTGTCATTGTAGACACTCAAGGGAGCTGGAGAGATCTTCTAGTTTCTATACCGAATGGTGACTATCTTATTTTGATTATAGTTAAAGTAAAAAATATGCTTTCACATGCAAACCATATTCTTAAACTTCCATTAACTCATTAAAACGTAATAAACATAAAGAAGAAACTGCTCCGGTTTCTTTTACCAGATGATGTGAAAGATGACCCAGTGGCAGGAACCTACGTCTGAAACCTTTGAAAGCAACATAAAATTTTTAAGCAAAATCCAAGAAGTCAGCAACTAAATTGAAACATTTTTTATGTGTCCATGGTATACGGACAACAAAAATATCAACACCAAGTACATTGCAAATGCCTAAGAAAGATCATCCCACCCATTATTTATTTTGTTTTACACTACAACACAACAAACTTTGGATAATGCAGCTGCATTCAAGGTAAAGTCTGCACTTGGCTAGAAACAAGTGCATATTTGGTTTGAACGACACTGAAGAAAGAACAGGAGGACTCTTCCTCTTAATCATGGAACAGCGTCTACAGTTCTGGAATCACAACCAAAAATGGGTCATCCCCCAAATGAGGAAGGGAATACAGGGACTCAACACACCAAAGTAAGAGGATGTCTTACCAGTGATTTAATTTTGTAAGATTGGATGAAGGTCTTTGCATTTGAGCTTCAACCAAACTGAACACATGTTTTGTAGAGTGTCCTTTGAAAGCTAATGAGGAATGCTTAATTATATTCCTTTTTAGGTGGGGGTTGGACAGAAATTGTCATTGTTGACTTAATGCTGTGATGTAAGAAGACTACATGCTTCTTTTTGTGAGAAAAACAGCAGAAATAATTAGTCTTGTGGCCTTTCCTGTCTCCCAGTAGATGTCACAATCCATGTAGATCTCCCTCACACCAGCTCTGAGTTTTTTATCATCTGAGTTTTGGAAAAATTCTTTCTGACTCCTATGCAAGGCATAAAATAGGTATTGTGCAACTCCGCAGCTGTGATATTTTCTTCTTGCTTTTTCTCCCTTCACTTACAGCTGTTTGAAATATCTGTAGAATTTGTCAGAAAATACAATGCCTTTTTTTTTTTTTTTTTTTAAGTTCTGACTTCAGATAAAACTGAATTATCAACCTAAATATTTGCAGAAGAGAAAAAAGTTTGTAATGCTTGTTTTCCCAGAAATCTGCGTTAAAATCACCAGCCCGGACATTTTATGTGTCAAGCCTGATGGATGGTAATTTTTCTCTGAGACATAATAGAAATAATACACTGCAAATGAGAAGATGTCAAGCTGTGTTTCTTACTTGTCTCAAGAACAATGGAATGTATCTTTTAACCTTGTCAGATGATGAAGGTAATTGAAATGTATGGTTATTATTCTTTGAGAGTTTTAATTCTCTTATTTAAACTCAGTGTATGTTCCAATCTGATCATGAGCTGGATGAAAATATTATAGAATCGTGGAACCAAAGAAGTGGGAAGGGACCCACAAGGATTATCAAGACTAATTCCTGGTTCTGCACAGAATAATCCCAAGAATCCCACCATGTTCCTGAAGGTGTTGTCCAAATTCTCCTTGAGCTTTACCAGGCTTAGTGCAGTGACCACTTCCCTGGAGAGCCTGTTCTCAGCCACCCTCTGGGTGAATAACTTTTTCCCAGTATCCAACCTAAACCTCCATAAAGACCAAAAAAAGAGCCTATATTCACTGTTTTCCTGGATTGCTACAACACTCAAGACTGTGTCTAAATCCCACTTTGAGAGAATTGGGCATAACTTAAACAGTTTGCTGAATATTTCCAGCCTGGGACAGACTGCACACTCACATAGGATTATTTTTTTTAATATGGCACCCCCATCATCTGTTTCCTTCTTATTTTGCTTGAAGTTTTCCAAGCAGTGCCTCAGGCTTTTGCCTTACACTCATATCACTACATGTGACTGCAAAACTTTCTTGACTGCATGAGATGAATTGCTTTTAGGCAGAGGATAATGAGTTTCTTGTGTTGTCAACAGGGCTTGGAGTTGCTTTCTCATTCAAAGGTGGACCTCACTGTGCAACTTGTACATGAGAAGAGACAATAATATCTATTTACAAACTATGCAAGGATGGGCACAGCATCTAATTATTGTGTCTAATTTATATATATATATATATATATATATATATACATATATATACATATTTTTTATTTTTTAATTTTTTTTTTACCTTATTGGATTCTTACTGGTTTAGCAACTACAGCTGAGGGATCTGGTCCTAGTGCAAGCCAGTCATAAAGATGATGACCCCTAAGGACAGCAGTGAGGTAAGAGTCAGTAGGACTGGGAAAGAAGTAGTCTGTCCATGACTGGGAAGTAAGTAGTTTAAATCCATGACTCTTTCATTTAAGATTTCAGAGTACTTTTTTTAAAGTGTCAGTCAGTTGAAACATTTGGCAAATTTCAAAATTGTTGTGTTATACGCAGAAAATAAATTTTACAAAGCAGAAGAAACCAATAATTTAGTTGCAGAAATATCAGAACGGGGGCTTCAATAGTATAATGCTCAAGTAAAAACTGAAGTAACTACAAAAACTATTTTTTCTCAAAGAATGTCCAGATTTTAGAAAGCAACATTTCTGCTGGGAACTTTTTAGAAAAGTGTCATAGGCTGGAAACAATGACAAAACAGTCAAAATTAGGTGTGAGAATTTTCCCAGAGTTGCTGTATTTTTAATGTGCACAGTGTGTTTCATGCTGTCAAAACCATTTCCAACACCATTTTAAGTAACTTACCTTCTTTCAGGTGACACAATAGGGAACTATATGCTACTTTGTCATCTGAAGTCACGTTTGAGATGTTTTACACCACTTGAATGAGAAGTCTTTCTTTATTTTCTACAGCATTTTGGGGGCATTCCCTATTCCAGCTAGTTACCCGTTTCAGAACCCTACACAAAACCTTTATCACAGAGATAACTTGATCAAAGCTTCAACCTTGCAGAACTTCATGACCAGGGTAGCAAAACCGAATTCCCTTTTATATATTTCAAACAGTGCTGTTCTAAGCATATTAAACTTTCAAATACAATTTTCATACCTGTTTCTAAATAAGTAGCAAAGATCCAACCTCATCCCTTCATAAGGGAAAAATAAAGCTTTGGCATTGAGATTATTGCAGCTGGAAAGATGGTGTAAGCTAACTCTGAGTAAAGGAGCAAAACTCCTTCATAAATTAACAAAGTGTGCTATAGTAAATAGTTATCCCTGTCCAGATTTTTATTTTTTTACACACCATTTCCTACATAACAGTTCCTGGCAGAACGCAGCACTTGTCCTAAGATTCATGAAAACTTAATGGAGTTTGATTTCAAAAGCATGGAGATAAAAATAGGTGCTGGAAGAAAATCTTAACATAGAATGTTTTGTTAAAACCTCCTGTGTCTCATAAGATAGTATCTTACAACATTTATTCTGTCCTTGTTTTCTGTTAGCTCCATTCTGCCACATTATCTTTGAATGACTCTCTTCCATTTTGCTGACCTGATTAGTGACAAATCCATTTTCAAGTTTCAGGGTATCGAGTAGAAACAGCCTGCAGATGACACCCAGGGTTCCAGATAACATTCTGTCAACAGACCTCTCTTCTTTCTAAGTCTTTCCAACTGAACAAGATGTTCCTCCACTGCCATTCTGGATAACCCCAGAAAATCATGGGTGATGTAGAACTGGACAAGCACGACAAAATGTTGGTATCTGTCAGGGAACTGAAGGAACAAATTGTCAGAAAAAGAAAAAATGGATAAAAGAGAGAACATAAAGAGAATTGTCCACAGTCACAAAGTTTTTCACTGACAGGAGTGATGGGTCAGACCTCTCTTTATCCATCTCCCCTCCTGCTCTCTTTTTATCTCTGGCATCCTTCACAAGAATTTATGCAAATTTATGTAGACATTGACAGAGGTTTTTCTCCTAGGATGTGAAAAATTTTCAGATTTTACCATCCATCCTTTAATATCATACTATGATAACAGTATAATCATGCAGATTTCATTTACTGTGTACACTGGAGCCTTGAGAGCTGTGTGCTGAAAGATAATTTTCCTTGCTAAGAGAAAGGACCACATATCTTTTATGTTGCAGGTATCCTAATACTAAAAAAATCCATATTGTCCTCACTTAGAATAGTTAAGTATACTGTTTAATTAAATCAGAACCTCTGAGTTTATACATTATTTGCAATCTTTTAAAATCAAAACCATTCATGGGATATTTAGTCTTTACAGGATTAAGGAATTTCTACTTGTAGGTAAAATAAAAAGAATCACTCAGAAAAAAAGTTTAAAAAGTTTAAAAATTAAATTTCAAATTAAAAGTTTAAAAGTCTCTAGGGGTTGTAGGCCAAAGATGTTTTAAATTTCACTACCTGGGTCTCCCCAGAGTCATCTGACTCCTCTTTTGGATCAGCCTAAGAATCTGGGTTATCTCTCTGTCACTTTCCTGGAAAGCAAGTTCTCTTCTTATGCCATTTCCTACCTATATTACCAGAAAGTAGGTTAAAAATTTACCTAGATATGAGCTTTAGAGGGTAATATCAAGAAAGGATAATCAGATTTTCAGGAAAAAAAAAATCCATAACAAAAACCAGCAGAAAACAATTCAAACTGGGCTAATATTTAGCCACCTTATCTTAAGGACAGTTTGGTATATATTCCTCAGACATCATAGTAAGATTTCATTTTGTCTTTATATTAAGTGACAATCTTACAGACTTAGCAAATGCATCCAGGCTAAAACACTGTTTCATGGTAAATGTCCTGGAGAATCAGTTGGTGTTGCATTTTAGTTAATAACACATTTATTATCAGAATTTGGATAATTTAAAGAGATTAATAGATGAGAGTGAAGAAAGTTGTTTTCCACTGACCTGATACAGGAACTTATTCTTGGCACCTGGCTGCTCTTTTACAGGTCCCAGCCTATAAAACTGATATAATGACACATATCTTCCCTCAGAACATAATTAATGCTTTTACTCTGTCAGGTACTTTATTAGCTTTTAGTCCCTCAGTCCCAGCTCTGGATAGGAAATAAACACTACCATGGACTCTTGAAGGCATGGGAGATGTAAGGCTACTGATCTCCATAAGCTGGAGTTATATTCTTGTTTCCTTTTCCATAGTTCTTCTGTCCTAAATAACAAAAAATATAATTTAATACTAGGGAAAACAAACAGACACTTAATTAGGCAAATGATGTATTTGTTGTGCCAAAGATTTGCTGCCCCCCGTATCTATGTTCCATATTTTTGGTTGTTTATAAGAAAAAGAGAGAGAGAAAGAAAGGGATTGAAGTAAGCTTGATGGATTTTTCTCTATAATATCTGTGCCTGACAAGGTTACTTAACAGGATTTTTACTGTAATGCTCTTCCACCCAACACCAGCTAAAAGCTCATCTTCAATTTATTAGCTTTTAAAAAATTCTTTCTCTTACCCTGTTTTTCCTCTCCAGGGAATTTATAAATGACAAGAACAGAGTAGTGAATTCAATAATTTTTGAGCAAAGCAGTGGTGTCTGAGAGGATCTCAGAGTATAAATGTATCCCACTTTTATTTTCATTTTTTAAACATGGTAACAAATGTGAAGGCTGTACAAACATGTGATACTGGGCTTTGGATCATGTAATTATTAAAGAAAGATTAGATCTTCTCAAAATAGCTGGATAAATACACACAGCCTTGCTCTGCCACCAATCAACACCAAATTTTGTATTCAGTGTGTTTCTGCTGATCACAGCTTTCAGTCAGGTCAACCTCATCTGCATTGTTTACTAAACACCACATGTATCACACCATACCAGTTTTTATTGATTTGAATTTTATGCAATTCCACTGAATGCTACAAAAAGCTGTGGTTGAGTCTAGCACTTGAGACTGAAGCTGCCAAAAGCTACATATAAACAACAACATTTTTAATTAAAAAAAAAAAGTGTTTAAGTACTATTGTGATGAGACTGAATGGTCAACGCAGAACAGGCTCTTGTTCTTAGCCCGTGCTCTGTGTTACATGCTGTATCACCAAACTGGGCCTGGACAAAACAGAAAAATCATTATCTAGTTATCTAAACTCAGTCCAGCATCTGGTAACATAGTCTTGTATCCTGCTAGCAGCTAAACTGCAAGTGTGTAGGTCAGCTGCAGAGAGGAAGAATAAAATATAAAACTAGAACTTGAGGCTGTTTAGCACAATAGATGTAAAGGGATTCACCTGCAAAGTACCCCCAGCTCAAAGCCTGTGAGTGGTCACCACTCTAGGGATGTGACAAACAACTGCTTAAAGGTAACCACTTTTATAAAAAATGAGCTAATGTGAGCAGTCGAAATTCTGGACCTCTCTAGATCTTACATAGTTCCTAGGTCAGAATAATAGATCTTATACAATGGGAAAATTTCAGTATTTAAAAATAGCAGAGGTGTTTGTGAGAATTATTGTGAAACTCAAGGCAGTCAAAAGAGAAACATATTCAGGTTATTTCTTTGTTAGAGCTGTAATTTGTGTAGGGAGAAAAAAAAAAGATTGTATTTGTTCAAACACAGAATTTATTACTGTGTTTAGAAAAAAATAACATGGAAACAAAACTCCATTTTTAAGTGAGCATGAGCTACATCCTTTCCAATTATTGCTTGGACTGCAGTCAGATATTACTTTCTGAAATCATGTTGAGTTTTACAGTGTTGACATCCAAAGGCCCAGGTGAACTGCAGTGATGAGGTTGTAGTTAGCAAAAGTCAGGGATCACACTGGTTTTGTTTGTGCTTGCATGTCATTACCTGAGCTCAGCTGGCCAAGATCCCTCCATATGAACACTCCCACACTCATCACCTATATCATGAACATAAAAGTACAGGGGTGTCAGTTATGAAGCTCCTCCCAGCTGGGTAACCTACCTGTGTGTCATATTTGGAAAACAGCCCCCCAGTTAAATTCATTAACCCTAGTTGAATTCAAGAGAACTCCAAGTTGGATACTTTTGGTGCAAAGTTTAGGATTTAAATCAGAGAAGAACATGCAGCTCTGAAATTAAAATGTAAGGAGCTTCCATTGCACCTCTTGTCCAAAGAAGATCAATTTGATTATTTATTTAGAGAGGCAAGGTATCGCCAGCCATCAGCTGTGCACTTTAACACGTTATTAGCATCAGTACACAGGTTGGAAAGGAAGAATCAGAAGAACAGCCCCTGAGTGACCTGAAATGCTCTGTATCATTTAATCACCTACTTACAGGCTCGGGGGCACAGAACAACCCAGTGAGTATCCAACCCCCTCCTGCACTGCACACTCTTCCCTTCAGGAAAGAGGATTGAAAATGATGTCTGAAAACATTGGGTAATCACTACCTTGATGCTTTGTTTTCCATTCCATTTAAATCTCACAACCACTGACAAATCCTTATGTTTCAAATTGGAAAGATGATGGTTAAACAAAACCCCACATCTCCCCTGTGGAGCCAGAAAAAATCACTTAATTTCTGCAGCTAAAGACAGCACTCACTAAGATGCATTCACCATTGGGCCCTTAGGTAGCATAATCACTGCTCTGAGATTTTCTAGAGGCTATTCTACCTGTATTAACCTCTAAAACAGACCTTCTTTTAAGGTTATTAGACATTTCACCAGCCTATTTCCTTGTCTCATTTACACCTGCTCTCATGCGTTGTGTTCTGTTACAGAACTCACAGCATGGCTTTCCTGAAGCAAAGAATAAAATAGACAACACAGGGAAGGGAATTTTTTTTTTTTTTTTTTTTTTTTTTTTTTTTTTTTTGTGAAGATAGAGAAAAATGAAATGGTTTTTCTTACAATAGGCATGCCTAGGTTAGTTAACAATAAACTCAAAATTGCTTTTCACCCCAAAACGAAATATTTATTTTCAAATTCTGTGTTGTATTAACCTTTCCATTTGCTTTATATTTTTAAACAAAACTGAATTTTCAAAGCAATTTTTTACAAGATCAACATAAAACACCATGGAAATTTTAATATACCATTTCCAAAATTGCCTCCTTACTTCTTCACAAGTATTTGGAATAACTTATCCTCTTAAGAGAAATAAACTTTCAAAAATATTTACTCATGTGTATGTAACTAAAATAAGTAGTTTACTCAGTCGACACAGTTGAGTAGGAGAAAAATAGTATTTTTTCTCTTTTACACTGAAATATCTGAAGTGTTATTTGCATTATGTACATAGTAACCAAATAATAGGCAAACCAAAACAACTGTAGTTCAACATTTTACTTGAATAGGTGATAAAGAAGCCAAAAATTCTTTAGCCACATTGTACACGAACGACTTTATGAGAGGTCCTTAGAAATATATTCTGCCTTTGCTGAGATAGGGTTTAGCTTTGAATTTCTGCCAATTACCACAAATTAGAAGATATTTGCTCATTCCCAAGAATAGTTAAGACACCAAATCATACTGGAAAAAACAGGGTATATTTTTACATCTCTCACTAGGAAAGACTATGTTTGAAACAAGAAGCAAAATGGATATAGACACAATCATGATAGGAGGGGACAAGTTGAAGGATGCATGTAGTTGAGAATCACTTATGATTCTGTCTGGCAGAGATCTGAGCTGTCAGTTATGTGATCCTAGCTTAGGAGATGTCTTTAGAAAGAAGATTTAATTTTCTGATTATTACCTGTTTTTCATTCTTAAATGAATTTACAGCATGCCACTTAGGTGGGAAATATGTAACAAATATCTGATTAGAATGGTGCTTTGGTTCGAAGACAAGTTATCCTGATACTCGATGTAGGAAAAAAAAAGCCCACAAACAAACAAACAGAAAGAACCACCAAACCCCAGATAAATCCCCTCAACAAAACTCCTAAATAATGTTACTTAGTGTATATTTATTTTTTTTATTTGCCTTTATTTCAACAGATAGAGGTTTTGATCTAAAAATAAGACCTTGTAACTATAATGAAGATACTTTTTCTCCCTTTTTTGGATTTGAAGATGAATTCCCAAGAGAAGATGTTCATGGTTACACTAAATCTTATTCTGGCATCCTGAAGACTTCAAAGTTTATATGACTTTTTAGTCATTGATTTCTTTTACAGAAATACCCTGACAGTAATTTCAAGAGGCATTTGTGTCAAGCTGGGAGCCAGCAAAGCACTTAAGTGGGTGCACTTAATAAAATGCATCTTCCATTGAAATCACTGTGCCAGCCTGAAAGCTTAAACATAAGAATACGCTTAACTGCTCTGATGAATTACAGCAGATCAGCAGTTTTATTATCACTGGAGTCAGGAGAGGTCCTCAAATTTGTCATTTCTTTCCTCTTTTTAGCACATTGTTAAAGTGAAGCTTTATAATTGGAAGGTTTTGGACTGTGATTCGAAGCCAGTGACAATCCATCTCTGTAAGGATGTGGAACATGCGATCGTTTGAGACAGTCACTTAGTTTTAACTTTTAAATAACAGTAATAGAATTTTGCAAACAGTCCTCCCTTTGGCTGCCTGAGACAATTATTTCTAGGCCAGCAGTTGCTTTCATGGAGTCACCAGTTGCTCTTTTTTGCAGCAGGTCAGAAACATGTGATGTGTACCACCTGAAACTCACTGCCTACCACCAAACCTCAAATCTGTAGAGCTGGGCTCTGCACAGGTGATGAGTGCAGAACCATTCTGTATCAGTGAGATGTTACTTATTTTGTAGTGATGCCTTAACACTTTACACAGTATGTTAAGAGTTTCATGCACGTTATACTGCCCTTTGTCCCTCAGCGTTCCCATGATGAGTGGTTCCAAGCTTTTAAGCAGAGCAAAGAGATTGTCTGCCTTCCCAGAGGGCCATGAAGTCATGTGAGCATCAGGTAAAGCACAACTTGATGATGTCCAGACTCTCTTTCACAGAACCACAGAAGGGTCTGGGTTGGAAGGGATCTTAAAGACCATCTCATTCTGCCCCCTCTGCCATGGTCAAAGACACCTTCCACTAGACCAGGTTGCTCAGAGCTCCATCCAACCTGGCCTTGAATATTTCCAGGAATGGGGCAGCCACAGCTTCTCTGGGCAACCTGTACCAGGGCCTCACCACCCTCATGGGAAAGAATTTCTTCCTAATATCCCCTCTAAACCTACTTTCACATTGATTTAATTGAACCACTCCCTTATCTTAATGCTGTATAAAACTTGAGCCATACTAATGATATGAAGATCATTGAAGACGTAATTCTCTATGAAGTTGGTCATCCAGAAGAGAACTTTCCTTAATCTTAGTCACCAAGGAGTGAAACAGAACTGCCTTTACCTGATCATCTAAAGTCAAAACTGAGAAATGGGATTAATCATCTCCTGGAGTTACATCTCTCCTATGTCTGACAAAAGAATATAACTGAAACACAGGATTAATCACCTCCTGGAGTTACATCTCTCCAGTGTCTGGTAAAACAGTATAACTGAAACACATAAATCCAGAGGCAGCAGTGGCAAAATGATTTCACTTCGAGGCCAGGGTATAAAGAATATTTAGATATTTAGCTTCTATCAACTAGTTATGCAACCAGATATATAATTATTTGGGTTTAGAGGCAACTTTTGAGATATTTTTCATGGCAACTAATAAGACTAAATGTAGAGATGACTACAGAGAGAGACATTTGAGTGTTTTTTACCTTTTTGTGATAAAATTCCATACACTGCACAATATCTTTTATTCCATTATTCTTTTTTTATGGTCGAACATTGAATGCGACTGCTCTAGAGAGATTCTTGCCTTACAATAGATTGAAATTGAAAAACATTAAAGTTTATAGCAATAATTCTTCAAATTATAATTGCCTTTCCCTACCAGAGATTTGTTTTTTCGTGTGAAGCTATCAAATATTTAATAGCAGACCTTTACATAAAAGCAATTTTATTAAACAAAGCGTAAAAATGCAGCTGCTTAAATTATTGGCATCAATCCCTTGGAAGTTGCTGGTAGTGCAATTACTGCTTATTTCTGAGAGAAGAATAGAATAACTTTACGAAATATATCATTTGATATTTTTCAAGGTCATATAAATGTAAATGTAAACAAATCATTCCTGAAAAATGACAGTATGTAAAGAACAAAATAGTAGTTTCTAGTTTATGGTCGCAATATTCTGATCCGCCACATTTGTTCATGCGCTCCAGCAGTGGCTGAATGCTGTGTAAGAAACAGTGACAGGGAGCTCTGGAAGACCTTTTGGTGAACCATTCCGGGGAAAAATGCTCTGCACCAACTCACCTCTTTGCTCCTGAGTGACAGCAGACCTACATCTTGAAGAAGGAAGCCTCAACGTCCAGCAACAGACCCTCTGTTCTGCAAACCTGATTTGGTGTGAGGTTTTCAAGTGGGTGAAGGGCAGTTCTCAGCAGTGGTGCAGAAGTCATTTTGTAGAGTCAATGATCAGCCAGTAAATCTTCCTTCTGCTTTTAAAAATACCTAAAGACTCTTTTGTGTTTTATGTTTCAGATGATACGAATTGGAAAGAAAAATCGGTTGCCAAGTTTGTAGTATCGAAGAGTTTTATATGTTACCCTCGAGTTCACATCTGTGTACTCTGAAAAAAAATAAGAAAAGAAGGTGATAATGTTAAAGTTAGTTTTTCAATAGAAGCTTGTGACTAAATCCTAGGTTATCAGCATCTGCCAGGAAGCAGATACTTCATTCTGGATGCACTGTGGGAAAAATGCCGAAAAATATACAAATGGATCTTTCGTTCTGTTTATTCACTGACCTTCTTATCAGACATTTCTCTTTGAATTATGAGGTTTTGCTTTCCCTTCTAAGCCCAGGGAAGAGATTGTCCTAATCACATAATAGGAAATGCCTTCTGAGAAGCTTGGAAATGGTTGCCTAGGCTGGACTTTCAGTATCTGCTGAGAGATGCTTTTCACAGGAAGGGCAAGATGAAGGAGTGGAAGGTTACATGGCACCCAGGTTTGTAAGGCACAGAATATAACACATGTATGTATCTGGAGAAAAGTACCAGTGCCAGCCCTTGGACCAATTGCCAGGCTGCTCCAGATCTCTTGTCTCATCAGGAATAACCTGCTTTGCTTCTCTTAATTTATTCACATTGTCAGGGCTGTGAGTAAAAAGTTCAATATTGGTTTGAGGTTAAAGAAACTAAGGTGGACATGAAAAACTACTGGACACGACACAAGATATTGCTGAATGTGTCATACAGAATTATCCTGTGATCGTACAAGATGTTGACAGAAGTCGTAGAAGAGGCTATGAGGGATGACTGGATTTCAAAGGTGGTTAGGGGGGAGTTATGTCAAAAAATAGGCAAACTTCATAGATAATGGGAGGAAAGTATTGGGGAACTTTTAAGGAACAAAACCTTATAAGAAAATCTAGGTCGTCATATCAGTAATACCATACAAGGTCAGCTTGCCTAGGAAAATATATCAGAAATACCAGATTTGGATATGGAAGTAGCAAAACTGGTAGCAATGGGGACAAAAAGTAATTAAGACAGGTTCTTTCATAGAATCATAGAATGGTTTGGGTTGGAAGGGACCTTAGAGACCCAACCCCCCTGCCACGGATGCCCCAACTCTGGCAGTGTTCAAGGCCAGGTTGGATGAGACCTTGAGCCACGTGGTCTAGTGAAAGGTGTCTCTCCCCATAGCAAGGGTGGTTGGGACTACAAGATCTTTAAGACTCCTTCCCACCTCTTAACAGGCAGGGACACTAAACCAGGTTGCTCAGAGCTCCATCCAGCCTGGTCTTGAACAATTCCAGGGATGGGACACCCACATCTTGTCAGGACAACTTGTTCCAGCACCTCACTGCCCTCACAGCAAAGAACATTATACAGCTTACTTGGGAAGAGAGTGGGGTGGAGAAAGGGAGGTACAAAGGTAGAGAATAAAAAGCTTGAGAAACATGAAAAAAGGATAGTAAGATATGAAATAATATCAATTAGGTGATCCAGGAGTAAACACAAAATGCTTTCCTGATGAGGAAAACCAGGGCAGAATCCTGGCTATTAGGGTATCCAGACAGAGGGAAGAAGCATCCTGGCATCACTGTGTCAGTGATGCCACCATTTCCTGGCACGTGCAGTGTGTGGTGTCTGTGTTAAGGCAGCTGCTCTCTGAATTGGGGGCTGTGCTGAGCTCTGCATCTCCCAATGCTTCAACCACTCAACCACTCAGAACTGAGTTTGCTGCCTGACAGAAGGAACCACAGATGGGGTAGCTGTTAGGCTTTGTGTATTGATAAGTTTCTTTCTCTTCTTAGTCTCATTATTCCAGTGCTTCCTGTTGTTTCATATGGTAGCACTTCAATATTTATAAGCTATATTGATTGCTTGTATTTTTTCCTGCCATACATCAGAACCCACCACAGCTAGAACATTAATTTGCACTGTCAAAACAAATGCACACATAGAAAAATGAGATATTAATGAAACCAGCACCTCAGGCTGTATGTGCTTATACTTTGTGTTGGAAAATTCATTGTTTAAGTTGCTTGCAATTCTAGTTCTTCTTGTCTACAATTTTATACATTTTTTTGTTATAAAGCAATAGCAGCAAGGATTCTTCCTAATGCCTTTCATAGCTCAATGTGTTGTGTATATATATTATTAAAAAAATTAATACAGCGGAGAACTGAAAGTGATGTGGGGCAGAGAGGGGTAACTAAACTTATCCTGTTTTAAATAATTTTCAAATATCTAAAGCTTCTAGCTTCTCTGTGTCTTTTCATAAACAGCCTCAAAAATAGTAAGGTAGGAAAACAATGGCAAAAGGGAACCTTAAAATCAAAAGAGGTGCTTAAGAGACCAAAATTTGTGATTATGAGGTTTTGCAATATACAGAGTGCACCTGATTGTCTGAGACTTCTACTCTGTATTCAGGGCAAATATTTTTAAATAAATCAACAAGATTATCAGGTTTTTGGGAAAGATACAGGACTTGATTCCAGACTGAGGTGTTTGTGTCAGTGCCTGATCTTAGCAGATCACCGAAAAAACCCCATAGAGGAATGACTTTAAAGAAGTTAAGGGCATTAAGGGCACTGTGGATTCTACTCTACTTCTTTAATCATTCCCCTGGAGCAAACTGAGGACAGACTGAGCCCTCTTGGGATATCTTTACCTCTTCCCTACACCCTCACCTTCTCACCCTTCTGCTTGATTTAGCAGCACTGTGCCCTAACAATTACAGGTTTGGCTTCATCATATTCTCACAGTTGAGGTTCATTGCAGCAGTTTTAAATCCTCAGCTGGAAGTTTACCTTGACATCACCTGCCTAAACAGCTTCCTCTTATTGAACTAAACTCTATTTACGTCTAATGACCTGTCAGATCCACTGAAAACTGTTGTTGCTTCTAAGGTCCCACATACAGAATACATGAGGTGGGCTGCATTTGGTCAATGTAAGTTGGTAATCAAACAGCAGAATAGTGCAGTTCACTGCCACTGAGAAGCAAATACTTACCATCCTGTTATAAATTCTGAATAGGTAAGCTTAAATGCTTTCTAGAGAACATATTCAAAATGGGGTTTTAATAGTCAAACTTTTACCATTGAAATATCTATTTTTCATAAGCCTTGACTTAAAAAGCAAAGTTTCTTAAGTCACTGTTGATTTGTCAGGAGATGACATGCATTTCACTTTGGCAAACAAGCTTCTTGGTTTTAGACATGTGAGTATAGATTTAAAAGGTATAAAGTGACACTAAAAATAAATGTAAAGTAGGGAGCTGACAGCCTTTTCAGTCCTGGAATATTATTGTTCCTTCAGTTTTACTCTGAAGAATATGTCTTGACAAGGCCCTGGATGGCATCCTGAGCAACCTGATCTGGTGGGTGGCATCCCTGCCCATGGGGGAAAGTTTGGAACTGAATGATCTCTAAGGTCCCTTCCAACTCAAATCATTCTGTGATTCTATCACGAAACACAACTGCCCTGAGAGAAGGGACTCGATACTTTTAACATCCTCCCACCATGTGGAAGTTCCAACAAGCAGGGAAGTCCTGTTGTCCATGGTCCAGGTATGATGAAAACACACTTGGGAATTGGAATATTCACTGTTCTCTTGCTCATTCTCCATTCCTCAATTAGTATGTTTATCAGAGGAAAATAAAGAATGAACAAAAGTGTCCCACTGACAGGTCAATGTTCTGCATAAAAAAGATTCTTCTCTCCAGATGTATTTTAAAGGGTAGAACAACCCCTGTCCAGCAGTTTTTGAAAGAAAGGGTACCTTTTACATTTAAAATATACCTTGTATTTGTCTTTATAGGACTCTCACAGCAAACATGAAACAAGAAGAGGTACATACACTTCTACAGCACAGAGTAGAATCACAATACTTTCAGACATTCATTTCCTATTTTTGGACTTGTCATTAGATAGTCTTAAGTATTTTTCCATCTACTATGCTGGAACCACCAGCTCCTATTCCACAGCATCCAATTGTGCTTGTATGGCCCAAACCTCAGAATCCAGGGATCTCCAGCATCTGGTTTGTCAGGCTGCAATCCATCTCCAAACTGAGAGTTCAGTTGACTCCCTGGAATTCACCACCCTGCTGTGGAGCACTGATAGTCAACAGGAGGTAGAGACAGCCAACATCTTGTCTCTACCAGAAGCACATTGGTGTGAATTACTCCTTCCCAGCTCAAAGGTGGCTTGTGCTCATCCTGCTTGAGTTTAGTCCATCTCAGTCTACCAGTACAAAAATTACTTTCTAAGGCCATTATTGTCACAGTACATCAAGTCCTAACTGTCATACCTTTTTTTAGCCAGCTGGAGAGATAGCATAATCTTTCTAGCCAAAGAGCTAAAGGAGTGAGGAAAAAAGACTAATCTCTCTGCTGAAGAACTTCCTTTTTTCCAGTCCTACAGAGAATTTTCTCTACTATTCCTGCCCTCAATCAGGAGGTCAACATCACCATGACCCTGTGCATGCTGAGCTGTTCTCCTGCAGATTTAAATAAAACACCCCAAAGGAAATTCTGATTGTGGAATCACAAGACCACAGGTGATTCTTCCTTTTTAAGGGTAGAATTTCGGTAAGTACTGTAGACTTTAATTGTGGGAAGGTGAAGGTATTATTGTGAGGTTTTGACATGAAATAGTGTCTATGGATTTAGGTTCACTTCAGTGACATGCCAGTAAAGGATTGAATATGCTAAAAATAGTAAAGAAAACCTCATTTTATAGAAGAAGAATAAGAGGAGAATAAATTGGGATGCAGTACTGAACTTGAATTTGGAATATGGTTAATGTAGAACAGAAGTCTACCCTTTTGGAAATACAATTAAGTCATCTTACTCTGTCCTCTGAGTTGTAAAATCTCCATTTAAATGAAGAACACCTAGGCAGCACACACAGCAAAATAAAAGTGTATAAGGAATAAGTCTGGGTAGGAACACTGAATGTTGAAGCAGGGATTTTGTTTATAAATTGGGAAAGTTGATACAAAATTAGCTCCTGTTTTCAGAAAGAGTTCTATTAATTTTCATTGATAAACCTTACCCTATATGATAACACATTAGTGATGGCTTTGGACTCAGGGATGCT